CTAGCACAGGCCGTGGGAGCTGCCCACTGCCCAGCCTTGCCTCAACCCTCTGGAGATGCATGGCCTTCACTCTAGGGCTCCTACAAGCCCTCCAACTCCACAGGCCTTGCCCAAGGTGCCCATGTGAGCTGCAGCTGGCCAGGATCTGTCCAGCACTGCATTCCCACATCTCCATATGGACAGGAAGGAACGGGGAAGTAGTCTGTATCTATTGTCATTTAAGTGATTGAAGTGGGTTTGTTTTTAAGTCTTCACATAAGTTCTCATCAGACTTGGAAGAGCTTCCTCTCTCATAAGACTCCCACTCTACCTCCTGCACCCCACCGCAGTCTCCCATGCCCCCCCTTCCCCGGGCCTGCCCACCCGCCTCCGTCACAGGTCACAGGAGAATGCGCATTGCAGCCCCGAGCTGGGCCCTGGGTCTCTCCCGGAATGCCCTGGAATGCGTTTACCCTCTCCACCTCCTCACCTTGAGGTTCCACAGGGTTTGGTGTCTTTTTTCTAGAATTCTCTCTTGCCCCTAACCTCAATATGAACTGTGCTGCAGTATCTCCTTCCAATCCTTCTCATCATGACCCAGCTGCACCCAGCCTGGCCTGCCCACCTCAAGTCACCTGCACTCAACGCAGTCTGAGCTCTCGTGTGACGTTGTCCAGGAAAGGCTGGCCTGCTGCCCCTGCCAGCCGCCACACGGCCAGGCAGAAGGCCCCCAAGCAGACAACCAATTGTCATCGTTCTGTTTCTTCCACAAGAGGAAAATAAGAAAGAAGAGGGAAATCAGAATACACAGGTTGACATTTGGGTATTTTATCACACTGTCCTCTAAACAGCACAGACAGCCGTGGTCCCCCATTGAAAATGCAGTTATCACAATGTTGCAGCTACTCTAAACCAAGGTTAATTTCTAAGAAAGAGAAGAAATAGGTTTATGTATGGATGCATATTAAGTAAGTCACAGTTGTGGCACAATTTGTAATTGTAATAATCAAAGACGGAAAACATTTGAGTAGTGCTGCACTCATTGGTTCTAATGCCATACAGTTGCTAAGAACTGATGTTAAAGCCAAGCAACTCAAAGGAAAATTAGAGGACAGGCAAAATAAAGTGTAAAATACATAAAAATCTTACATCTAAGGTGTTTAAGGAAATACAATAATAATATCTAGTTAAATAAATATTACCAGGAAAATACACCAAAATCTTAACCATTTTTCATCTCTGAAAGAATTATAGGTGATTGTTCTAAAAGTTTGTATTTCCTAAACATTTTTCAGTGAATCACTTAATGCATTCATAATTATAAAACCCAATGCAGAGGTTTTAACGTTTTTAATCCCTAAAATAAGCCCAGATGCTCTCTCTGTTTGAACATGCATGTGGTTGAGAAAGAGGATTCATTTGTCCAGACATACAGCTACGCCCAGTGCAACATAAACCAGGGTGGGCGCAGGCCAGACCCCAGGGCACAGGCAGGATGTCCCTTGGATTCCTGCCTGCCCTGTTGACCTTTGCCCCTGCCGTGTCCTAATCCGAGGGTTTGCTTGAGGTACAGGCAGGACTCCTCCCCACTGGTGGAGGAGAGGACCCACTGGGAACATTGTCCCTCCCACAATGACTCACCATGGTCTTCCGTGTTCCTACTGAGACACCTGCCTTTCTTGGGTCTTTGTTTGTTAAACACATTGTATAAACTCACAAGTGAAGGGATCACCGGGAACCAGTGTCTTGAATTTTCTGTGGTACTTGCACAGCAAAACTGCCCGTAAGCCTTTATGTATTTTGTAATTATTTGCCTTAACACCAGGTGTTAAAAGGCTAATCAGATTATAGACATCCCATGTGTAAACACATGTCTATATCAGCAAAACAGAAGTTGGAGGAAGAACCAAATGTAAAAAGACATTCCAAGGAAAATGTTCAAAAATTCACTCCCAAGCCTGCTATCCACCCAGACGGGAGCGCACAAAACAAGACACCAGTGGGCAGATTCCTGAGGTCTTCCTCCCTGCGAGAGTTTGCCCCAGAGGCTCAGATGATACCTGCTACTCAGTAGCTGAAAAATAAGAACCTGGTATATAAGCGCGTAGCCAAACGGTTTACCGCGTGTGCGTGTGGTTTCCTCTCAGCCGATCCCCCTGGGAACACTTCTTTATTTCTTCTTGATTTCCCAGACGTTTTCCTCTCCCCACAAAGACCAATTCTGTGGTAGTGCTCAGTGGTAGAGCACTTGCCTTGCATGCATGAGGCCCTGGGTTCGATTCCCCAGCACCGCATAAGCAAAAAGAATAAAAGCCAGAAGTGGCGCTGTGGCTCAAGTGGTAGAGTGCTAGCCTTGAGCTGAAGAGCTGAGGGACAGCGCCCAGGCCCAGAGTTCAGGCCCCATGACCGGACCCAAAAAAAAAAAAAAAAGACCAAGTCTGTATGTCAGCTTCCCCTCCTCCTGCACAGCGGGCCGCAGAGGAGAAAGAGAAAAGGAGCCAGCGCCCATTGCTTTCCCTCTGGGTCCTTTTACCCCCGTGCTACTTGCAGGTAACGCTTTGCAGGGGCCGTGCCTTAAAGCAAGCTTTGTCCTTTCCGCAGGAAATGAAGCTGCGGGTGTCCGTGCTGTGTGGGAATCAGACGCAGGAGTCCTGTGTGCACAGCCGTCCACACGCCCATGAGAAAACTAGCTCCCTTTTGTTGTCTCGTTCATTTCCAGGCCCATGTGCTTTGTGAAGCAGCTGGAGATTCCTCAGTATGGCTACAGAAACAATGTCCCCACCACCACGCCCCGCTCCAACCTGGCCAAGGAGCTCGAGAAATACTCCAAGACGTCATTTGAATACAACAGCTATGACAACCATACGTACGGCAAGCGGGCCATAGCTCCCAAGGTGCAAACCAGGGACATATCCCCCAGAGGATGCGATGATGGTAGGAGGTGCACACTCTTCTACATGAGAGATGCGTCGCCATGCTGATGTTGTTGTTGTGTGTGCCCATGTCCCCACCCCAGCACCAGGGGGCGCTCAGCGGGTGGCAGAGGCGTGCTGGGCCAGCCCTCGGCCTGCACGCGGCAGGGCTGGCAAGGCTGTGGTTGTGTGTGCCCATGTCCCCACCCCAGCACCAGGGGGCGCTCCGCGGGTGGCAGAGGCGTGCTGGGCCAGCCCTGGGCCTGCACGTGGCAGGGCTGGCAAGGCTGTGGTTGGAAGGAGGATGTTTTCCACAGTGACTCCACAGCAGTGTGCCCTGGTTGGCTGTGGAAATGGAAGGGGAAACCAAGGGCCCCTCTGTGTGAGAGAGTGCCCTTCAGATGGAAGCCCAGACAAGCACCAGGGAGGACCCAGGACAAGTACCAGGGAGGACTCAGGACAAGTACCAGTTAGAACCTAGGACAAGTATCAAGGAGGGCTCAGGATAAGTACCAGGGAGGACCCAGGACAAGTACCAGGGAGAGCTCGGGACAAGTACCAGGGAGGACCCAGGACAAGTACCAGGGAGGACCCAGGACAAGTACCAGTTAGAACCTAGGACAAGTATCAAGGAGGGCCTAGCACAAGTGCCAGAGAAGACCCAGGACAAGTACCAGGGAGGGCTCAGGACAAGTACCAGGGAGGACCCAGGACAAGTACCAGGGAGGACCCAGGACAAGTACCAGGGAGGACCCAGGACAAGTACCAGGGAGAGCTCGGGACAAGTACCAGGGAGGACCCAGGACAAGTACCAGGGAAGACCCAGGATAAGTACCAGGGAGAAACTAGGACAAGTACCAGGCAGGACCTAGAACAAGCACCAGGGAGGGCTCAGGACAAGTACCAGGGAGGCCCCAGGACAAGCACCAGGGAAGACCCAGGACAAGCACCAGGGAGGACCGGTTTGCTCTGCGTCTCATGGATGCTCTCTGTTCTGGGTATGCATTTAAGTTATGTCAGGAGATGGCTTTCTCACATTCCTGTGCCCAGTCTGTGCCTCAGAGCAATTGCTTTGAGATAGCTGGAAACTCCCAGGGCAACTTTCTAGAAAGATTCCCAGGTGACCAATAAGCGGCCTCCGCTGGTGCCCTCCACCTGGCAGAGCCTGCCAAGCCAGGGCCTATGTCCGGGCTCATTCTCTATCTGAAAGACGGGCTGGAGGAAGGCAGCCTCTGTGCACACAGCCCAGCCCTGAGCTCCCGGCCACCTGCTGACCTCCTCACACTGGGGTCACAAATGGCAGCAGCCTGAAGGTCATTTGAAAGCCACCTTGGCACCCTCCAGCACAGGGAGGGAGTTAGCTGTGAAAGATTTAGAATTCCCTTCCGAAAAAGGTATTTCATCAAAATCACAAACCCACAGGAAAACATATGTAAATGGAATGTTTATAGCATTCTGAAACCGTTTTTCAATTCAGCAGAAGTTGCTGCACACCTTTCTTAGCTATGTTATGTCTTACAATGATAAGAATGTATATGATGAGTAAAATTCAATAATTCTTCGAAATACCACATCAATTATCCTTGCGCGTCAATCTTTTAAAATTCAGAAACAGATATACGTGGGGGAAGGAGTGGCTGTGTATAATAGAAATAATTATTTGTGTTTTGTTGTTTGCTTGGTAATAATTAATTGCCAATTTCAGATCTTCTTGCTATAATTGCATTCCTTCCATTGCAAGAGAAGGATCAAAAAGAAATTGCATTTATGTAATTGAAGATTCTGTTAGTATAATCTCCAATCCATTGATGTCTTTCGATTAGTTCTTCTACTAGGTGTTCATTTTTAGACACCTGCGTTGTGGTTACTCTGCATGGCTTGCTGTCCCGGCCTCATCGCCATGGTTGGTCTCTAGGTTTAGCATAAAGAGGGCTTCTGGGCAGAGGGTGCCAGAGGAGAGTGTGTGGGGCCACACGGATGAGGGCAAGTCTGTCCCTTCTGCTCAGCCCTGCTGAATGGAAGCTTCCAGATGCCTGAATGGATCTTCTCCATCTCCTCATGGCCAAGGAAATGCCAAGAGCTTCCCAGCAGGGCTGTGTGAAGGTTGATGGTGGTGAGGCCCTGTGTAGATTCTCTGCCAACTGCAAAGCAAGAGACATATGATACCGTCTATCCCAGCACGCCCCCACCCACACAGCATCTGCCGGGGAAACTGGGCTGTACCATGTTTCCCTTGATCCACCAGAAAGCAAACACCATTGCTAATGTTCAACTCGACCTCTGCCTGAAGTCTCCAAAACCCAGAGCAAAGACGGACTGCACCTTACCCCAGCCCGCCAAGAAAACACACACACAACTCAAATCTTTCTGCTTGTCTGACAGACTTTAGAGAGACCCAGGAAGGGCAACAGAGGACAGGACTGAGGACAGGACTGAGGGCAGGACTGAGGACAGGACTGAGGGCAGGACTGAGGACAGGACTGAGGACAGGGCAGGACTGAGGACAGGACTGAGGACAGGACTGAGGACAGGACTGAGGACAGGGCAGAGGGCAGGACTGAGGACAGGACTGAGGACAGGACTGAGGGCAGGACTGAGGACAGGACAGGACTAAGGACAGGACTGAGGACAGGACTGAGGGCAGGACTGAGGACAGGGCAGGACTGAGGACAGGACTGAGGACAGGACTGAGGACAGGACAGGACTGAGGGCAGGACTGAGGACAGGACTGACGGCAGGTCCGAGGTCAGGATGTGGACAGGACTTCAGGCCAGGCTGTGGCTCAAGTGAGCGGTCTTTGTTCCCAGCAACACTGGTCATGGCAGAACTTCCGATGTCTCCCTCAAGCCTCCCTTCGGTGCAGAAGAAAAAAACCCTCTACTCCTTGAAGAAACCGAAGGCTGAACCTGCCTCAGAAAACTTCATTCTTAGGGGGACAGGCAGGCCATGGAGACAGAATGGAGGAGGAGAGAAGTGGGTGGCCTGAGCATCATCTCCTAAACCTCCCGGGCTGTAGGATCAAAGCCAGCCTCCTTCCTGATGAGCGAAGGCTCCTCCAGCCGTCCGCCTTTGTAGACACGGCTGAGATTGCAGTGTCTGCCCACATGTCGGTCTGTCAGAAGCCCTGACCTGCACAGAGAGCGTGTATCAAGCCCAGGCCCAGAGCTGCAGGGCCCTATGCCAGACGGAGGAAGAGGATGCACCCCACCAAGGGACGGGGGGAGGCTCAGTCCTGAGACCGAGTGGACTTGTGAGGGCAGGGGCCCATGGTCTGCTGGGCTGGGAAGAGAGTGGGGCTCGGCTGTGGGACTGGCCAGGAAACTGCTTCCCTACCTACCTCTCTGTGGAGCTCCAGCACCTCTGTGGGGAGAGGACGTGGACAGGCGTGCGGGCAAGAAGGCCACTCCCGAGGCCCCACCTCCCTCTCCTTGTCCTGTGGTGAACTAAGAATGGCTCATGAGCAGGTGCCAGTGGCTCACACCTATAATCCCAGCAACTTGGGAGGCTGAGATCTAGGGGTCTTGATTTGAGGCCAGCCCAGACAAATCAAAGAGACTCTTATCTCCCGTTAACCAGCAAAGAGTCAGACATGGGAGTGTGGTAGAGTGGCAACTATGAGAAGAAAAACTGAGCAAGATCACAAGGCCTTGAGCTATGGCCCCAGTCCTGGCACACACACACACACACACACACACACACACACACACACACACACACACAAACAAAACAGAATGCTCTTAAGGGTCAGGTACACCGGCTCATGTCTATAATCCTAGGAACTAGGCCCTCAGGAGAGCAGCAATGGGAGGGCCATAGTTCAAAGCCAGTAGGACAAAGTTTACACAACTCTGCTCAAAAGGAAGAGAGAGATGATGGTGCCTGGCTCTAAACTCTAGCTGTTCACGAGGCTGATGAGCAAAATGAAATCCCAAGGCTAGCCTTGTACAGAACACAAGATCCTCTCTGAAAAATGAACTGAAAGCAGAATGTGGCTCAGGTGGTAGAGCACTTGCAAGGCCCTGAGTTCAAACCCCAGTATTACTGAGAAAAAAAACGGCGTTTATAATGTTAGATAGTTGAAGAAGAAAAGAAAATGTCTTAGAACATGTGGAAACAGTGACAGGCAAACCTCCGTGGCCCCTCCTGCTCTCCTGAGACCTCGGCCAGACCACGCAGAGCTCGGCAGCCATGGCGACGACCCCACAGCCTCAGGCCCACCAGGCAGAGCTGCTGAACTGGTCTAAACCAGCTCCGCTCATCTGTCCTGGGCTGCCCCACAGGATCTCACAGACACAGACCCAGGAGATGGAAGGTTCCAGACACGAGCCCCATCCGCGCTCTCCGTCCGTCCTCTCACCCTGCCAGCCACCACCCAGGGCTTCCTGGCCCCGGGCAGCCCCTCCGTCCCCAGTGAGCTGCCAGCAGACTCGCAGCAGAGGTTCTTCGACTGACCCCGCCGCCCTGCCCTCCACAGAGACACGCAATGGAGACACGGGACGGCAGGCTCGGCAGCCCCCAGGGAGCTCCGTGTCCCACCCAGCCCCAGCTCAGCCGCCAGTGGACACTCTGCCGTCCCCGCAGACGTGAGCCCCAGTGGGCGGAGGCCCAGCCTCGAGCCATGTGAGGCGTCACCGTGTCCAGGGCCCTGCGGCTGATGGACGGAAATCCAGACCCCACCAGAGCACCCTCTGCCCGCAGGTCCTGGCCAACGGTGTGCTGCCAGAACGCCAGGCTTCCTGTGTCCCTGGAACCCTGGATGGTGTGCACTCGGCAGAGTGAGGACACCAGCGGAGGTGAGGCCCAGACCGCCCAGGGTGACCGCAGCCCCGGCGGACACACCTGGCTTCCAGCGGGACCCACCTGCCCACCCTCTGGACAGCCTTGTCTGCCCCTGCAGGGGTCTCTAGAGCTCAAGGAAACTGATGTGCCAGCACTGTTTGTGGACCTCAGTAGAGAGGCCAACGGAAGGTTCTGGTTGGCAGTTTGGCCCTGGGTTTTAATGCCTAGGAGTGCGGCTGCAGCCTGCCCAGGTCTGCCACAGGACACTGCAGCCACAGCGCTGGGCCAGCCACAGGACGCTGCGGCCACGGCGCTGGGCCAGTCACAGGACGCCACGGCCACGGCGCTGGGCCAGCCACAGGACGCTGCGGCCACGGCGCTGGGCCAGCCACAGGATGCTGCGGCCA